GTAGCTCCAGCAGCTCCTGCACTTCTGCCACCTGCACCTTCAAAGCCGAAGTCTTCACATCCTCCGATGAAATGTCCCATGGCTGGAACATTCTACCGATCGCCTGCCCCAGGGGCACCACCTTTTGTAAAGGTAAACACACACATTGCTTTCACCTGTGTTTTAGTTGCCATTGGATCAAGAGCACTGTATCCTGATATTTTGCCAAAAGTTATGAGTCTCATTATGAAGTAGGCTAAGGAGTACCTTGGTTTAATCACTCCATATATTTAGTAAATTAGCAATTGAAGTAAAGGGGGTAAAGAAGAATGGAGCAGTTATTAACGATTACTATGAAGCAATTAGACTTGCATCGTTGCTCTTATAGTTTGAAGTTCGGAGTAAATTTGTCAGAGCAGGGGCCTACTCGCACTGTCAGTAGATTGCACATTTTGCTGCTGCTGTTGACTGTTATCCCCCCCTCCCTTTATTATGATATTTTTTTGGGAGGGGAGAGAAAGGAGGGAGCTGTTGCTTTTTGGTCTATATGTAGTGTCCTGTAGGCAAAAGAACATCCTTGAAGTTTTGTAGAAAGAGAATGAAAAGAGGAAAGTAAAAGCTGATTAATATTTTCATGTTGCACTATAGCATGACTCTGGATTCCTTAATTTTATGTGAATTTTGGCGTTAAATGTTTAGATTAGTCCGGAAACCAGAGAAATATTTAATCAAGGGCAAATTCACTATAACACGGTTCACATCTAGCGACCAAAGTAGAGAGTGTTTGCCACTATGTGCTTGCCTGCAGCTTCTCTTTTCCCTATACTTTTTGGTCTTCTTGTTTTCTCATGACCCTGACTAAACTGACGAATTACCAGGTAGGAGACAAGGTCCAGAAAGGGCAAGTAGTTTGTATCATTGAGGCCATGAAATTGATGAATGAGATTGAGGTAAGTTCTGGATTAAGATTTGTGTTCCTTCATGTGCAAACTCAGTTCTATAGTTGCTGTGACAGATAGATTCATAAAAAGATGATTATGATAGGGTACAAACATATATAATCAGATAATTTCTAATGTGGAACATGTCTAAGTGTTGTATTTTCAGTTTTCCTTTTCTGTTGCATCCATTTCATGGTAAGAGGCCTATAGGAATGACGTAAATAGGCAAGTGATGTGTCATAAAGAGCAGCTCCTCTCAACATTTCCCATTTTGGTGAAATTGGTCGTAAATTTACCTAAAACCATTATCATGTTGAATGTTTAAAATTGAAAGGTATCGTGAACTCTGGGGAGAGTCGCACCATCACCTATAAGTTTTTAGTTCCTTTTTTACCTACTCCATTCATCATTTTTGAATTCTTTATCAGGCCGATTCATCTGGAACCATAGTTGACATAATTGCAGATGATGGTAAACCCGTTAGTGTAGACACGGTACGTCACTCTCTTTCTCTACCATATAACTTTAGACTAGTTCTACTTGTGCTTTGTGTGATTTCCAATATTTTCTTGCAGCCTCTATTTGTCATTGAACCATGAAAGGGAGAAGTCATCTAGTATGCAACATAGGTGGAAGGCGCAGAGTGATATTCAATAGTTATTGAGGCCAAAATCTGTCTTTAGCTCTAGGCAGATATGCTCTTCACAGAGATTGGATCACCATATGACTGTAGTTCAAATCTAATGATCATATTTTTAAATTTTATTTGTCATTTTGCTTATGCTGCTCATAAATTTTGGAACGATGTATTTATCTTTATAAAGTTGTGAGTTACTTATATCCTCTAGTCTCTATCACCACTCCAATATCTCTCTCTCTATATATATATATATCTCTTTAAGTACTTTAATGCTATGAGCCCCCAAGGCTTTGGTTCAATGATACATGCAGCGTGTGATGTGTCATGTGTGTGGGTTAGGCATATGTCACGAGTTTGAACTTTGCGGTGGATAAAAGCCTGAAATTTAAGTAGAGAATGATAGAGGGACGAGCCTACCATCATCGAGCTTCGAGTTTTGTGCAAGTTGACTATCAAGGGTTTCTGGATTATTAGAATAAAGTTCTTTAATGCTATGAGCTGAGATATGATAGATGGCTGCAATCTAATCTTGTTTATCGTTCAAATGTGGCCCAGTTCAAGATATATGCCTATGAGATTTGTTGTTTGTTTTATAGGCAAAGAAATGTAGGTCTAGGCCCTAGGATCCAACAATACACCAGTTTTGGAATATTATTCAGACTCGACTATTAAAATAATGATGAACAGTTTCATCTGAAAGGTTGATAGCCATGGGAGATGAAGAAATTATTACAAATAGAAGCATAAATAAATTTTCCCCAACTGTTTGTAAAATCTGTGATTACTTTACAAAAACATAAATTATACATAAAGTTCGTCTACAATTCCTTACACATACAAAGTATATACCCTTGTACTATACGAAATTGAGCACATTTGTCATTCGTTAATACTTTAGGTCAAATATGTCCTTACCATCACATAGTTGGTCCATATATGCCCTTAGAGTTACACAATTAGCTCATATATGCCCTTTTCGAAACGGAATTCACCCAAACTAATTAGCTCTTTCGTTAATGGTACTAAAGTGTATTACAAACACTATTTTCTTTTCATTAGTACTTTTTTTTCTTTACCTTTCTCTTTTCTTTCTTCTTTTTTCTTTTCTTCTCTTTTTTTTCCCTTTTTCTTTCTCCCTTATCTGATTTCCTCCATTACTGATGTCTTCTCCATTTTCGTCACCAATTTCACTTGACAAAACTCATGAATTCCAATTACTAAGAAAATTCTCCCATAAGAATATTTTTATAGATCATATGTTTGTCAATTTTTTAATTTTTACTGAACATATATTTAGTTCTAAAAAATTTAATAAAGTAAAATTGAAATAATATTTATGTAACAAAAAATCCGAAAAATCCAACAAAATCATAATTTAAATATTTTGGTCTTTTGAGTATTGTTAAAGGTTGAGATGCTTTTATTATTTTAAAGTTTAAACCATAATTTTTGGAACAATTTAGTTTCGTTTATGTAGAGGGCCAGTAAAATTGGAACTTGATTACCTTATGGGAGAATTTTCTTAGTAATTGGAATTCATGAGTTTTGTCAAGTGAAATTGGTGACGAAAATGGAGAAGACATCAGTAATGGAGGAAACGAATAAGGGAGAAAGAAAAAGGAAAAGAAAAAAGAAGAAAGAAAGAGAAAGGTAAAGAAAAAAAAGTATTAATAAACTTTAATACAATTAACGAAAGAGCTAATTAGTTTGGGTGAATTTCTTTTCGAAAAGGGCATATATGGGCCAATTGTGTAACTCTAAGGGCATATATGGACCAACTATGTGACGGTAAGGACATATTTAAGTTAAAATATTAACGAAGGGCAAATACACTCAATTTCGTATAGTACAAGGACATATTTGGACCTTTGCCCTACAAAGTATTGCTACGAAATGGTGAATAAAGCCTAAGAGTGAGTAGTGAAATGACAAAGCAAATATATTAACTGCGTAATTGAAAGAGTGAATCTGATCCATAAATTTTAATTAAGTTGCAAGAGCTGAAAATCTAAAAGATGGCTTAAACAATTCCATCAAGTTTTCTTGCTTCGCCGGGAAGTGGGAACCAATGCCCATGTAGTTTGTTATGAGACCCATAATTTCCCACCTGAGTTAACAAAAATAACAAGTTCTGATTAGGCGTGCAATCTTTTTTTGTTTTGCATTTCTCATCTAACAAATAGGCGACTTTTTCATTACTCCATTTATAAATAGCTTATTATAATATTTAACCAATTCATAAAATATTACTAATATTAGCCAATTAGCTATTTGTAGCCAAAAAAATGTCAAAGTTTTTTACTTTCTTTTGAGTGAGTGTTATTAGAATAGATTGGGTACATCTTAAAGAGCTTGAATCTCAGTTTTGGATGATTTGGTGGAGTTTTGAGGTGGTTCGAATTGAAAATTTGAAGTAGAAGATGAACATGAAAAAAAAATGATGTGTATCACACTGTGTATCATTTATGTATCACATATGTATCATATTTGTATCAAATGTGTATCACATGTATATCCATATATACCTACCTGTATGTGAGATACATGCGTGATACATGTTTGATACATGTGTCGCAGAAAAAAAATTGAACTCGATTTTAACTACGAATTTTGATATCAAATCACTTTCAATCTTCCTTGCATTTTGTGTATTAGCTTATCTATATGTTTTCAATGAATTTCAACCATACCCATTGAAAAAAAAGATATTTTTTGCTTATTTTTTGGAATCGTGTATATATATTTTCTTGTATTTCATAACCTTATTTGATGCCCTATCCTGAAATTTCATTTTCGTCTTGCATCTAATGTTGATGATCACGCTTAAAAATATGGAAGGAGATCTTTGCTTATGATTCTTGGAGAGAAAAATTCTTATTAATTTGGGGTTTTAATTTTTATATGTGCTTGACTAATTTTGGTAAGCGTAAAAGTTGGTAAATTGGGACTTATTTAAGACTTTTATGTAAGATTCCCTTAATTATTTATTAGTTAAAATCTGATGTGGCAATCCGTTACTTTTAGGGGTAGATGTGAGCCATTGGACTAAAAACGAGGGCATATTTAGGACCAAATTCAGACGAAAGTTATAGTTGTTTCATTTTCAATAGGTGAGGGGCAATTTTGGCCATTTTTCCTTTTTAAATAAATTTTCTCAATTTATTTTAGAAAATAAAAAAAAAATTGACATAGGAATCAGTAGCCAAAATTGGATGATTGGACTAAGGAATTTGAATCTATTGTTCTTTTTAAAATGGAAAACTATTACTTACTACTTCTCTAATTGGAGTTACTTATGTATGTAATTTTCTTTTTTGAGGTTTCAAAAGGGACGTGTTACAATGACAATTGATTAATCGAGGGATCTAAGTGCTAACTTTCTAAAATTGAAGGTGCTAAATGATCCCTTTTACATTCTACCTGTTTACTACTAGTACCTTAGCCATCAGTCTGTCACAACAATGGAGTCCAAATTCCTCTCTTCAATTGCTCCGGCGCCGTCGCCGACACTTTCTACCTTTCCGGTTTCCTCCGACGAAGCCACGAACCGGACTATTCAAAGTCCGTCTGCAAAATCTCCGGCGCCCCCAACAACGCCGTCGACGCCGTTATCCACTCAAGATATACGGCGATGGAGACCGGCGGCGCAACGAAACCTGAGAAACCAATGGTCGAAGTTGGCTGCTCTGAGGACGCAATGGTTTTCCTTATCCTCCACTGCTCGATCATATGCCACTTCTGTAGTCAATTCACATCTCTCCCAAAGGTAAACTTCAAGCACACGTTTAAATAAAATTGCAAGTCAGGAACTTGCTGGAAGATACTATAACTCACTATTTTTATAGTTAAAAGCATTTCCAAAACGTATGAATAAAAAAAATGACGCCAAATATAATTGTGTTAGTGGTCAGAGGAGAACCATGAGTTCTCAGCAGAGTAGTCAAAAGCAAAAAGAGTAAAAAAACACCAAAATTTTTGTGGAGCTTTAAGCATTGCGAAGAAAATTTACAATATAAAGAGACTACAACTCATACCCTCAACTGGTGCAGGACTCTAACAATTTACAATATTGACTTGTCAGTGATTTTGAATTACATCCTTTGAAGATTTGGTGCAGGTATATGGATGCGATGGACTTGGGTGTTTTAACAGATATGCCTGATATACGTAAAAAAGCATGTAGGAAATTGTTCAAGCAGCAGGTGATTATAGTAATTGCCTTTGTCCTTCTGTCTTTTGGCTTCAATTTGAGTTATCCTAGAAGCTGGCTATTTGCACACTGCATAAAGTTGATTGAGAGAATGTGTGTTGATGTCCCTTGTTGTATCCTCATAATTACATGGAAAACCTATTGAATTTGAAGTGCTGAGAATATATTAGCTCCTTCCAAGCGACAAATTTCTTAATATTCTTGTCGCTTGTCGAGCGCAAAACACAACACAAAATTGATGCTCGCTAGTCAAAGATAGTATAGTATGATTATCGTCTCCACAGGGATTGGATTTAAACAGTGCTCTAGTAATTCTTGGTTTAACTGCTATTCAGGATGATCAAAACTTGATTGTAATGATTACGAACTACGATTAACTACTAAAGTAGATCAATTGACAATTGACTGCAAAGAACTAGAGATTAGCAAAGTAGGTTTCTTATCAATGTGAGAAATAAGGGTTTTGACATGATAGGTGCAAGGTTGTTATTCTGGATATGATACTGTTATATTTCACTCTTGAGGTTCTATCGATTCTCACGAATTCAATAGGCGATTAGCTTATACTTTCGATTCAGACTCCTCTCTCAATTAAATCTAAATCTTTCAAATAAACTAATGTGAAGTGTGGTGAAACTTGCAAGAATCTATTGGTAGGAATGATCTAAGAGAAATTTCTCGCGAATATTTCTCAATCTTAATTTAAACATCAACTCAAAAAGCTCTCTCGATTACTTCGAAGAATCACCAAAATAAAGCGAGGCATACGTTGTAATAATATTCAATAAGATGTTCCTCTTTCTATTAAACACTATAAAAAATAAAATCACAACTATATTAAAGCTTCTCCAATAAATTCAAGCAATTAAGCAGTAGTCGAATCCATAAACAACAATCAAGTCACCAAATCATGTCAAACCCTAAGGTAAACTACTCCATAATTATGGTGGAAGTCATCACAAATATAATTAAAGAGTGAGAAAGCATCAAGCTAACGTTACAATCCAAACTCCCGTATTGAATTGATGGAAAGATGATGAAATCATGTGTCTTGTAGCCTCCAATGCTCTCCCAAAGCTTCCAAGGTCAAAAGTACTCTCTATATATAATGTTTTGAATCCCATTGACATAGCCCAAAAGCATAGCTTAGAGGTCAAGGGGTTCAAAATCTTTGTGAGGTCATTGGTTCAATTCCCACTAGCTAAAATCTCATTTGATTTTTAATTTTTTTTCTTTTTGAACTCCCTTAGCGAAAATTCTGCCTCCGTCACTGTTTATACCATGTAGGAGTGGGCCCGGACGAAACTACCCTTTCCAAACCGAAATAGGAAAAACACTCTACGAAAAATACACTGGCACGGCGTAGGGCGGTCGCCCCACGCGGCGCGCCAGTGGACAATTACAGGGTCTCGTTTATGACAGGCTTGGCCATTTTGCACAGCTGCGTCGCGCCCAGCGGCGCCCCATGCGGCGCGGCTGTGGGTTTTTTACAGAATAATTCTTTTTCGTCATGTTTTGATATTCAGACTTGGCTCTCGACCCCCGAACGCGATCGTGATTTAATTTTTTGGACTTTTACTCAGACTTCAAAGGTCTAACTTGTTCGATTTAGCTCCCGATTATCTTTTTAACTCGGAATCACTTCTTGCAAGGCATAAAACACATAATGAGTGCAATTCACTATCATTTAAGCTCAAACACAAGTAAAATGCAGTAATTAGAGTGCAAACTATAACTAAAACACGGGTTTCTAGCCTGCCATCATTGCTAAATTAATGTTGTTGGATTTCTCATTGAGTATGCTCGAGATTGTGCTGGAAATATTGTCTGAGTGCATGTCAGACGTTTTCCTCATTATTTAGTTGCTCAAGTATGCTGGAAATGAGTCTGTAAAGTAGAATGGAAAACCCATCTCTGTTTATTGACAAAATCAAACTGTACTCTGAGTAATTTCTCACAGCTGTCTTTATTTTTCAGGAGACTTATAGGAGTAACCTCTTGTCATCTTACAAAGATATGGTATGCACACTACATATTTACTGGTTCGCTTCATAAATGTGTCAATGATTAGCTTGCTACTCTGAGTAAAGATGGTAAACATTTTTTTATCAAATAGATGTATTCTCTGCTGTGGTTTTCTTCTGTGTTGCTTGGAACCTGAATATCGTTTTGTGTTATTTACACATCTAAACCTGTTGGTATCTCCCTACGTAATCCTTAACATCTTCTTTAATAGTTCAGGCTTCTCCAAATGTCTTATAACTTCATTACTTTCAAATGCTCCCTATTTCATTCGACCCTCTCCTGTGTTTGGAAGGGAAACATCCCTAAATGAATGCCTCATGTACAGTTTGAACGACTGATTAAGCACAATGTTACTTCTATAATCCCCAAGTATTTGGAAGGCTAGTAGTGTGTTACGTATTTCTAAGTGAACGACATATCTGCTGTTTAGATATCCTGGCACAAATTCCTTTGATGCTAATTTTAGTAAAAAGCAACAAACAGACATCTCTACTGGTCTTTTGAAGTGTTTACTGTGTTTGTCTTCCATGCTTATCTGTGCTTGTTTGACATCCAGAATTGCATTTATCTCGTTCTTGAATGTCCAACGTCCTTGAGATCACAATCTCAACCTATAGTTGTATGACTATCCATTTTTAACCTTATCTGACCAAAAAACATTAAATAACTAATTTGACAAAGTTATGTAAGTGAATTTGTAGGGTCAAAAAGTTTTAGCTATAAGATAAAGTATTTACTGCGAATTGTATATATATCGTTAGGTGTCAGTATACAAATTGCAAAAGTTTTGGTATCTTGGGAAGCTGGGTTCTTGAGTACTTTTTAGTCAAGGGTGCAAAAATCAAGACTGAATCAGGACGTGCGTATGTAGTTCTTAGTTGTTTGTGTGTCATTCACTCATTGACAGAAACCAATTGCCAAGTGACTTATCTTCGAGACTCGGTTCTTGTTCTCTCCGTCAATCAGCTCTTGCTTAGGCATGGATCTTACTCCTTACATGACTATATTGAAGCTATGATCGTTTAGGAGTCTGGTATACTGACATTTTACTTTCTTAGTTCCAGTGACTTCTATGAAATTGCCATGCCTGTTTATTGCCTGACTATTTAACTGTCTGCAGGTGGCTGTTGTAACTCAGATGGTCAATGTTTCTAAATCTATGAGGTGTTACCGCAAAGGAACAAATGGCAGTGCACTTACTGAGTTTTCTTTGTTCCCTGGAGATCAGAATGACACTGGTGATGGTGATGGGATTCCTGTTTTCACCTTTTGGTCAATCTTTGATTTCGGTATGTTTTTAAAACCTTTGCAAGTTGCAGACTGTCCCCACAACTAGAAATTCCTGCAGAGATTTGTCAATGTTTTGTTAAAAGGTTTTCATATGTTAATTCGTAGTCCGAGCTAATCAATGAGTATTAAATTTATTGTCTGCGTAGTTAGTAGTACAAGGGTATCACATAGCTTAAATTAAAACTTTTGCTCTAGTGTACTACAAATGATATTGGCCTTAGATGAGTTCAAATGGAATATCATGGTCCAACAACAGAAGTAATCATATAAAACCTACTTATCAAAAGAAAAGAAGTAATCATATAAAACCTAAGCAAATCTGGTTGTCAATGTGGTATAAGTTGCTAGAGCTCGATTTTGAGTTTGAGTGGTCAGGATTTTTGGTTTCTCCCCTTCATGGTTTGTAGGGTTTTGGTGATCACATGATAGTCTTTTCTGCCTGGCCAGAGGACATTCTGCAGTCACCCTTAATCTCCTTGGTTAACTATAAAATATTGCTTTAGGGGTGGATAATCTATGCATAGCCTTGACATATCGGGAATGGAGAGTTTCCCATTAAACAATCAGTAAAAGGAGTTATACCTTGGCTTCCTTTTGGTCTTAAACTGATAACTAACTTCTCCTTTTATCTACTTATCTGCTTAGCACTTCATATTTACAATTTTCCTCTCTAATGACTTCAGAGAAACTGGCATTGGAGCTGGTCCAGATGTTTGTGTCAGAAACGAATATAAAGGTGATTTTCTCATCTCCTCCGCCACAGTGAGGCATTTTTCACTTTATTGGTACAAACCTTCTATGGCCTACATATTTGTTTTGCCTTATTGAAAGTTGAGTGATGTGCAGCGGTTGCTTGTAATGGAAATATGCTCCATTGGTTCCGAGGAATTTTCCCAGGTCGACAGGCTGAAATGGAGTGATCATTTCTATGTAGGAGAGTTTGATGATCTGCTCAAATGCAATTCAAACTCAAATGAGGTTCTTAAGCAACTCGTGCCCAGGCTAGAGAGCTGCAATTCTCGGACTTCCCCCATGCAATCGAGTAATCAATTAGAGAGCAATATTCTCCAGGTATCAGGTCACCTGTTGTATAAAGAATTTATACTTTTTGGAATAAATTTCTGTGCCTACTCCTCTGTGTGTCTATAGTTTTTAAAATTATTAGCACACTGAGGCACATCCCTAGTGCTTCAAAGACTCTAGGCTTGACGGTGAGTGATATATCATCTCTGGGAGAAGCCCCTAGGCTGGCACATTGAGTAGGATATCATAGTTGCTCTAATGGTACCATCAATAATTATGTATATCCCATATAATTTCTGAAGGTCTTACTTCTAACACACAAATTGTCTTTCTGAAGGTCTTACTTCTAACCATGTAAAAAAACTTTTGGCTCTTTTTTTTGGGTATCCAATTTCTCTTGAAGTTGCTGCAAGATAGCTATATTGGAGATATTATTACTTATCTATAACTTTTTTTTTCTTTAAGTTCAAGACAGGCTTTCCTGTCTCTTCTATGCATTGTTTCAACTCATTAAATCATGTTTTCTTTTTCAAGAAGTTTTTTTTTCTTTAGGATGACTGATGACACTGAATCATGTTTTATTGTCAAGGTAATAGTTTATAATGGTGGAGTGAAATACGTATACAATTGCTGATGATCAGATTAGAAAAATCCATCATTGTCTTATTGGACGGAAAAATTTACCAACCTCCAGTTGGTGTTTCCACTTTCATTATGTACTCATTAAATATTTGAATTGTAGGTTTACTTAACAACCTGGCTTGCAGAAGTCAATGTCGATAGATTCAGGTAAAGTGATTCTGTGGCACTTTAAGTTTTTTGATCTTTGATTCTGAAGCTACTTCTGCGTTTTTTGGCTTCTATTGGTATTGGTGTTCACAAGTCATATAATGTTGTAACTTCGTCTAGAATGAGATATTTACCCTTGTATATCATGTTGTAACAGATTAGTGTTTCTTGACAGGATAGGTGAATTATTTGCTATGGTAGGTGAGGAGATGCATGTTACCATATCTTGAAGCCTCAACTACACAGGTAGGCGAACAAGGGTGAAAAAACCCTTTAAATTTTAACGTTGTAATTCCAAGATCAAGCTTGAGCTCATCCATATGCCTGATGAAGCATTGAGCTGATCTTCAAGCTTCTAAGATTTTTATCTTCATCCTTATCTGGATGTATCTATTGCACCTGAGCAGAGCAGAATGGATACAAAAGATTAGCATGGATAGCCCCAACTCATTTGGTCGAGGCATGTATATATACATGTAATGGTGATGGGTCTATTCGCCAATGAGGTCGATAGAGCTTGAAAAGATATAAAAGCGACCTAAGCTGGGATTTAAGATGGTGAAGTTGTTCTTGTCCAGGAGAATCATCCAACTTACAAACAATGCTACTGTTGTTTCCCGGGCAATGTATCCAAGTATCAGGCTAATGACTGCCTAATGCTGTCTTTGTCTGTTAAAGCAACTGGCGGGTGAAGTGCCAACACTGACATATTTAGTACTCCCTCTGTTTCAATTTATGTGAACCCATTTGAATGGGCACGGAGTTTAAGAAAAGAAAGAAGATTTTTGAACTTGTGGTGTAAAATGAGGCACATACATTTTGTGTGGCTATAAATCATTGCATAAAGGTAAATTGTTTCCAAATAAGGAAAGAGGTCATTCTTTTTTACACGAACTAAAAAGGAAATAGGTTCACATAAATTGAAACGGAGGGAGTATATGAAAGTGAAGAAGCTAAGGCTAGCAAGAGCCGCTATTTTTTAAAAAAGAAATTATATATTGGGGTAGGGGAAGGGGATTACATGGTGAGGTTGAACCTCCACCAATAAGGTGAAAGTTTAGGTAGCCAACCAACTAAGCTACAGCAAGAGCAACTATGAATGTTAGTTTTCTATTTATTTGTTTGTTTATTTATTGGGTTTTTTGGGGGCATAGATGCTAGACTTGTTCCATTGATAGAATACTCCTCTTATATTAACCCTTGGTCTGGTTGGGTTGGTGTCCAGTATAACAAGGTAGGAAAAGCATCGTATTTCTCAAAAAAAGGATGTGGTCACGAGACATGTACTTTATGATGAAGTTACTGTTTGTAATTCATTTTGTGAACTGTCTATTCTGGAAATTCTCATTGGGCAAGGAGAACTTTTTTCTCAACGTTGCAGAAATACTCTGCAAACTTTACAGGTTAAAAAAAGAGAAGTAAAAGTTGGTAATTTTGTCGGTAAGAGAAAGTCAATGCATGTAATTGAAGTAGCAAGGCGGTAATCTTCGTTTTCCTTTCACGTAAGATGGTTAAATAAATTACCGTTTAGTTACTTAATTCGTATTATAATTTGAAGAATTTGAATAAGCTACCTTATGATGTGAAATGGTATGAATTAATATTAATACCTTCGATTTCAATTGCATAAATTACTACACTCGTCATGCTTATCATTTCGTAAAGAAACGTTTCTACATCTTCTATTGCTTTTGAGAAAAATTCTTAATAGTAAAACTTTTGTGAATTAATTTGTATTATTCTTGCTTTACCTCATCCCTAAGTTCTTACACATTATAAAAAGCAAGCAATTCTCAGATATAACTATTAATCAGCAAATGTTCAAGTAAATTAAACAGTTCATTGCGTGGCTTACTCCAGTTACATCCCATCGAACTTTGGTTTGCTTAGTTACACCTCATTCTGGGCATTCACTTAACCTTAGGTTACAGTTTGGAACTACTACTATTCAGCTTCAGCTTATGCTCAACCTCTTCGTAGTTTCAACACGCATTTGGGCATTCTGTAGCACATAGAGAACACAAGCAAGTACTTGATCAACCATATAACCAAAGTTTCTCTCAGTTCGTGTATCAACCTCTTTTCTGGACCGTCAAAGCTATGCTGGAGGAAAGTTACTGTTGACAAATCCCGCGTCAAACCAAGCAGTTGTTTATTCACTCCGAGACAGACAACAAAACACCGAAAAGAGAAAATATGTCCCCTAAAGTTGCAAAATTTCACTTTGTGATAAGGTTGGGAGGCATGTCTCCTTTATTTCCCAAAACGTGGTTGTGTGGAGGGAGGGGGGAGGATGCGAGATGGGACCCTCAGAAAAGAGGGTATAATTCAACACATAACAGGAGAAAACATCAACATTTTAGACTATAAGAAGTCCCAGAACAAGTTATCAAAAATCTGCCCAGCAGTTGCACATTAAGAACCATACAAGGCAAAGTACAGGCATTGATCTAAACCTCTGTACAAGGGAAAGAATTAAATATCAAGCTGTTCTGAAAGCTCCTTTTTCATCTAAACTATGTTCTGAACAATCTGAACAGCTTAGCACTGTTTCCAGCTGTTAACTATAAACTACAAATGGCTGAGGGAAGCATCAACAGAATAATTAACCTTTATCGGAAAAGAAAAAAAAAAGAAAGGCATCACCAGAATAAATTATGAGCCTAGGCATCACTTATACTTGATGATGCCAATACAAATACATGGACCTGCCTAAAGCAATTATAATAACCTTCACAATTCTGCAAGGAGGTGACATATATAACAGCACCATTGACCAACTACATATCGACAGCTTTTAACCACAGGGTATATATTCTCCCCACTTCTGGCAAAAAATGATGGGGCACCCTAGTCTTCGAAGAGATGTACATGGATTGAATCATATATTTCTTGATAATGACAATATTTTCTTTTTTTTAATGCAAAGGATTGGACAGCCTACATTGCATCTAAGGTGAAAATTGAGTGTATGTTCAGCAATACTGATTGTGTGGTTCTATTTTCTTCTTGCTAGTGCTAGTACATGACTAGGACAAAAATTTCTACCAGAAGTTGAGGTAATTGATGACAGAGCACAGGGAAAGATCAATTCATTTGTGATCACAGAGAAAGACAATGTACCCCACTAGGGAGATTTTTCGGTATAGGAAGTGCAGTGATGTATCTCTGGGGAAAAGGTTTATGGGTATGTGCAGCTGGGCCTGATGAAGATGAGGTCTCAGCACCATCAGATTGTCCCCGACCGTGGAACTTCGCGAACCGGTTGATAACGGCGAATTTCTCTTGGTCTTGCCCTTCTACTATCGCATCTAATAAGGATGCTCTCTTGTCCAGTCTGATCATAGGAACAACAAATTAGAAATCAAAACAGAGTTCAATAAAGCAGATAGAATATATAATCAACAGAAGTGGAACAGCTCAAAAGATAAAATGAACTCCCAAAAACTAATAACAAGTCAAATGGCAGTAGATATTAAAGACTTCAGAAGTGTGGATTTCCGAATAAAAAGTTCATGTTTCTATGCAACCAACCAATAAGTACTCTTAGTACTTGTGCCCTCATTTTCATCAGCTTTATATGTTTTAAGATGTGCTAAACCAGAAGCAAGAAGTCAACAGAAATGAAAAATAACTTGTAAAAAGAAACGTGACTCAAGATCATATTCCAGAACGGGAAGAGAAGAAATATAAGCAGGAAGAAAATGTCTAAAGCAACAGGAGAGCTCAAGTTCTACAAATTGAGGAAATATGATTACCTCCCTAAAACGTGAAAATATCACTCAATATTGATATTGACCGCAGAAAAGTCAGACCTACTCAATGACTTCATGGCGAGAGACTGCGATTTCCTTCGAGAGGTGTTCTTTCACCTCCAACTAGTTTTTTCCCCTCCCACCACCCAAAAGCCCCTAAAACAGTGCAGGGTGTTCTCTGGATCCTAAATATAATGTTATAGAAACTCATCTGCTATAGCCAGCCGTGTGCAGTCAACACTTGTCTGCACATGTTGCTGTTGGAGAAAAAAAAGAACCTGAATGAAACATTAAGCATTACCTCAAAAAGTCACTTTCTAATCTCCTCGCTCTTCCCATTAACTCTTCTACAGCTTTGGCAAAACAATGTTTATTAACCCTCTCTGAAGTATTGCAGTTTTCAGGAAGTCTACAAATTACATCAAACATATCATTAGGATCAGAAGATCAACAAAGTTATAGACATGACTGAACAATCTCAGGCAACAACCAGAAAACTCACAGTGTTTTATCATCATGAGGCATATTCAGAGCACCATTTGAGATACAGACCATGCTGCATGCATCCCCCAATGCCAATCTAGCGATGGAGTAAGCCACACTCTCATGCTCTGAATTAGCTTCTGCAGAAAGAATTGCTGCAGGTGGAGGGCGAAGTAGTTGCTGCATAAGCTGAGTGGTCAATAAAACCCTTCTTTTAGCTTTAACCCCTAGTGCCCCTTCCTCAATAAAATCAATGCCTTCTTCAACCTGATAGTAGAAAATAACAGGTAGTTAGAAAAGTAAAGGTAATCAAATTTTGAAAACAAGAGGATTTTAGTAGTCAGTTCATGATACCTTTTCAGTAAGCCTATTAGCAGCTCTAGCCCACTCTCTTTCTGCCAGGCTGCATAGAGGAAGTTAAACACACATCAGCATGAAGCAAGAGGATTTATTAAAGAAATTGTAATGCATAATAAGAACCTGATTGTCTGATTGCTCCGTGAATCCACTGAAACTTCTTTATACCAAGGAGTATGATCAGATGTCGCACGTTTCCGCTTCATGGGTTTCAAAATTTGGTGCTGATGACCAGCATTCACTGGCAATGTCGGCGGGGAAGAAAAATGCTCAATTGCAGCAGAGCTGGGGATAGAATTTGGCCCAAGATTACTGATTGAACTTCGATCAGCAGTTGCAGGTATGACTTGCAGCATAGTATTAAGTGCATGCAAACTACTGGATGACTTCCCAATAGTGAAAGGTTGTTTGACTGTCTTCATTGCAGCAGCTCTACGTGCATCATACATCTGTAACATCTGCCTGTTTTTTAAGGTTCTGCACTGATTAAACCAGGAAGGTTCCAGCTGAGGACCATTTTGAGTTTGCTCAAGCTTAACAGAATTTGTATTATTGCTGTGAGCGCCGCTCTGAGAATCATCCTGACAAAGTGCAAGTACATCCTGAGGAGTCATTTTCCCCACTTGTTGAGATGAAATGCTTCTATGCAAATTCTCTGGCCCGGACAATCCTAGCATTCCAGTGTCCCCAGAAGGAACTTGCAGAGCACCTGCACTGCTGTCTGCTACTTTCATTCTTTTGAAGGCCCTATTGCTTGGATCTATCTCCACCTGTTTCATGGCCCGCATTTGGTTTAATAGGGAATAGTTCTGATGAGATAAGTTATTTGGCTTCAAAGATCGGCCAAAGGCTTCGATATCTCTCTGCATAGATGCAGAATTTGCAGGAGATCCTCCCGGGATATACTTGTCAATAGATTCTCTACCCTGCGAATCATTCATCTTCTGGACGAGGTCAACATTTCTCAATGGTACTTGCGGAGAGCTTCCCTCTGCACGCTGTTCTTCCCCTTCAGCAGACCCCAGGGAATTCACTGAGCTGGTACCAATCTGGGGAGTCAAATTCCCTCCTCTATTGGAGTATTGATCACTTCGCCTCCCTGGAGCAGACAACGATGACTCCACAATATTCAACTGATGTGATTGGGAGATATGGGAAGGATTCTTGTCATACTGAGCACCAAAAGGTTGCTGAGGTGGTGGAAAATTAGTCCACATACTGGAGGACATTTTTGAAGACATATCCTGCTGAGCAATGCCGGACACTAATGGCTGAGACACTGACACTGGCTCCTGGGATGAAACATGATTGGTAAAGATACTTTTCACTGTACCATTGGCATTACTTAATTGGGACTTGCATGCAGGGAGGACACTCTTATCTTGTGTATTGCCTGCCCCATCCGGCAAAGAAGCCTCCACAGTTTGACCACTTGCAGATCCTCTGTGAGAGTCGCCTTTCTCTGTATGACAGGAAACATGTTTATCAAAAGATACACTAACAGATTGATTTGTTGAGACTTGCTCAGTTGTCCTAACCACATTTGGATTTTTAATCTGACCTCCCATATAGGGAAAACCAGAAAGAGATTCAACTGCTGGAGAAAGTTTTCCGGGCATTGTGTACATAGAAGTTTCATTATTGCTACTTCCTGGAATACCAAATCTATTATTCTTCAACCCTTCCTGGGAGAGGTCAGAAGGTGGAAGTAAGGATTGAGCCTGATGAATTAGACCTTGATTCTTCTCACCAGTGTCAACAGCAGCATGACTTGAATGCGAAGAGCTAACTGCTTGGATAGCGCTCTGAGATGACAAAGAATGGCTTCGGACTGATGCACGTCCAGATGGAAGGCCAAGTTGCAATCCAAAGCCTTGAGGGGCAGAAGACTGACTTCTCTGGTGATGACTAACAGGCTCATCAGACTCATCTGCTTCAGGCATCTCAGATGATGCTTTGTGCTCAGAATGACCGAACAGTGCCACAGAACCACACTCTCTCGATTGGTCCACCTTCTGAATAAGCTGTAGCATGTTTGGACTGCAAAAAACAGAACAGTCTAAACATTGAAACCAAGGGGGGGAAAGCATTGGAAGGTAGATTATACTTCTCAACTTGACAGTCAACAAGGTTTTTAAGGTATACGGAAAGATATGTACAAAAGAACATCTAAATCTTACAGGATCTATAAAATGTACCTAATACTACTACTAATAAGTTCTGAGAATCAGGAAATTAACTACCTAGATTGTCCAACTTTATTAGGTGAATGTACGTCAAGAGATCTATTGAAAAGGCCAGGAATATTAGATACACCAGGAAACCTGCTCTGCAAATGCACCTCGTGAGAGCCTTTTCCATCCATCAAAACATCAGGCAACTGCCCCTGTAGATCAAGGAACATTCACCTCTTACTGTTGATCAAGGATTTATAGAACTGAGGGCTCTTCAAAAAATACTACATTAAGCACATATATTACCTTGTCTAATTCTGCCTGACTCTGAGGAACCTGACCAAAAACCTTTGATTGTCTATTCAAGGAATTGTGCTGCACTACAGACTGAGAATGAGTAGATTGCTTCATGCTACAAGGAGGATCAGCATCCTCATTCAAGTTTCCCAAGGGATGGTACTGAAACTTCGGAGGCCACAAATTTTTCAGACCACCCTGATTAGACAACTTCTGATTCCCCATGAGAAGACACCTAGAATCACTGGCATCTGATAATGCATTTTCCCTAACCCCACCAGCAGAAGAATGAGGATGTGAGTTAGAGTGATAGCTGTCATTTGAATTATCCTTCTTATCACTGTTCTCCATCTCATACATTTTAAACTCTTTGTCACCAACATCCGGTGATGAGTGCAAAACCTGGCTGTCTTTCATAACATGACGCTGCAAAACCCCCAAACTTTCACTTGCATTAGATTTAACCAAATCAGCATTTGTCCAGTAATTAGATTGATTATTATTTTGAAGAGATTGTTTGGTTTCTTCAGCACCCTTCATCATACTTGAGTTTGGAACTGTGGCCGAGTTATAGAAGCTAAAGACCTCTGAATTCCCCTGCAGACTAGCCACAGATGATCCCGCATGCTCCATACCAACTGCAGAAATACAGCGAGGACTAGATTTCAATGCCACACCACCATGAAAGACTTCGTCTTGGATGCATTTGTTCTGATTGTTGACCTGCAAACGTTTTGATGAGTTATCACTTGAAATACTTGACGCTGCATCTCCAGATGGTAATGCTGATCCAAGAACACCCCAATTAGCTGAATTCATCCACGGTTGTCTAGCTCCACCAAGCTCAGCTGTCAAATTACTAGAAACCCTTCTTGCAATCATCTCAGTGTCAAGAGGATGTGAAGTATTGCTAAATTTCTGGCTTGCTTCAGTAACTGATGTCTGCAGTGGACCAAAATCTGACGACTTGCTTCCTCCATCTGATGACTGGGCAAGTCTTAGAGAATTCGTTTGCATATTCTGGCCTCGCTCATATGGAAACCTGTGCTCCTGGACGTTGTGAAAGCTGTTATTCATATTGGTGCTATCAGAGGGCTGAACAGAAAAATTCAAGGATGGGGCTGGGGGCAATTTGTCTTCAGCAGAAGATGCTTTATGTCTCCCATTGTTGTACATCAAATTATGATTCCCTGAAGAAATTTCAGCACTGTGAAAATTCAAACCACTCCATTCCTCCTGCGGGGCAACATCACTGCTAGAAGCTTCTTCAACAGCAGACTGCATAAGAGCACTCCAACTACCACCTTGGAGAGAAGGAAATCCGGTTAGTAATCCTGCACTATCAAACAGATTATCACCTTCCTCATTCCTATTAGGGCTTTTGGAGAAGGCATTCCATATACTATCATCTGAACCAAACAAAATTCTTTCTTCTGTAGGATCTAAACCAACTTCATTCTCTGGTGAAGAAGTTGGTGCCGCTTTCTCCTGCGAGGTCTCTGAGGGATTGGTTAGATCCAATCTGCCGCAGAAATCCTGGAGAGCTGAACCTTTTTGCATAATATTTGCTTGCTGAAGGTTCTTGATATTAATCGCATTAGATTGAGCTTGACTTACAGTATGACCTAAAAAACTTTCACCTTGTAATCCCTGTCTAGTAATGGAAGTCCCATCCGGCCCACTGACTTGATCTGACAATGCAGCACATTCATTACCCGGAAATGAACCAGTAAAGGTTGGCATTGGCTGTACTGCAGGCTTTTTTGTTCCCATCTGTAGAAATTGGTTCAAGCTTCCTCTTGAATTGGCAACAGGAGTTCCATATAGAGACTGATCAATGTGTTGAGGAATCAAACCCATCAAATGTTGTGCAGCTTGGCCATAATTTGTGGGATTGAATCCGTTTGAGGATCCTTGGAGAACTGGAGAACCACGTTGCAACCAATTAGTGTTGCCAATCTCAGTTGCGGGCGCATAATTTGCTGCACCGGAATTTGTAGTGCCGTTAACAGAAGCAGGGGAATGGCTACTAGATGCCACCTTAGCAAGGGGAGGAACCTGATTTAATGGATGTTGTGGACTGGCATCTAGTTGCTGAAGTTGCTGTTGCCTCTGAAATTCTTGCATCTTCATGAACATGACTTGCTGTTGCAGTTGCTGCATTTCGTTAAGCCCAGACTGCTGCCGTTGCAAAGATTGCAGCATGTTTGATTGCTGACGGTTCATTTGCTGTCCACCAAAAAGATCAAAACTAATAGGACCTCCAGAAGGTTCTGACCTGACTGGTCCCCTTGCCTGCTGTTCAAGACCCGCCCCTCGCTGCAATTCATGAAAAGATGAGGCCCCGGAGGCTAGATTACATTGATTAGAACCTGTATTCACAGCCAGAAATCTGGATTCATCCTGCTTTGTTTGGTAATACTGATTACCATACATGTTTCCATTCAAGTTTGGCTGCTGACTTTGTGACTGACTTTTAGCAAACTCATTCCATGGGGTTGATTGTGCAGATTCCAAGCCACGCTGCACATTAAATGGATAACTGCTACCTGCTCTCGTAGTTTCTGCAAACAAAGGAAAGTAAGAAAATTGCCCAACAAGCTACTTGGCTACCAAATAAAGTTTAGACAACATATCAAATTACCAGAGTTCTGTAAATTGTATGTGTTGGAACTCAGTCCACCTGTCTGTCTCTGGCTTCCAACCCCCAAAATATTACTTAGAGCTGGAAAATTCCCCTCCGCTACCGGGGAATGCTGTTCTCCTTGTGACAAGCTGTCTTGTGCGAAAAAATTGTGAACCCTATCTCTGACTTCATTGCCAGGCATAGATAATTTAAGTCCCAAACCTTTGATTGTTAAATGTTGCTATACAATTACTAACATAGCAAGATATCAATAAACTCAACCTTTTTTCTATCTGGCATTGCAATGTAAATTCCAGAACTTAAACATAATAACTTGGATCACTATTCTTAGAAGCTAAGAATCAGCTGCCTCCTCTAAAACTGCAAAAACCTGTAAGACATTCATCCAAGTTCAGTTGGGTGAAAGTAGAGACATATTAAGTGGCAACAGATATTAGCTGAGATGACAAAGAAAAGGCATACAGTACTACTTGAAGATTCAAACTTAGTTTGATGGAATTACTTCAATACACAACTAAAATTTATATAAACATGCAGATACATATAATCCATAGAATACATAATCAATGGCTAGTACATGTTAATTATCAACAGCATTGAAGCTCGCATCTTTTCCTCAGTCAGTAATCACAGAAGAGAGCCTGTAGTTGACCAAGTGGACATGACATAGACAAAAGAAAGACCAGCAATGGCTATAAAGAGTATTAAAAAAAAAAGGCATCCGCGATAACAAGTGTTCGATAAAACCGTCAAGACGAGGCAATTCAAATTTCAAACACATTAAGGATTAGTGCATACCGCACTTGTTTCCATCTGGTAAAAGAAAAGGAGGCGGCGGGGGGTAGAAGATACATGCAAAACTAAACTGGATCTGCCATTTTTCTGAAGAATGAGAAGCATCAGAATATCTAGTGCTTTGACTTAAGTGAGCATTTCCTTTGGCTTGCATCAGTCAAAAACTGCTGGCATAGCCTCAGATTGACCTTATGCAAGCTCATTACCAAAATCAGGACAAGTGCTGAATATGCCATAGTTTATGGTCAAGTTAAAAAGCTATACCACTGGTTAATGAACAAAGCCCTACTTGTCGTACTGATTTCTTATTTACCAAGGGCAAGCAATCTCACCAACCCAATAACATGCAATTGTATAAAATCTTGATTATAAATCGTCATCGGTCATTTGTTCAAAGAGGTGACATGGTCACCCACACTTTCTCAAAACTAGGGCTAGTATGATGATGCTATTCATCTAAGAAAGTCCTCACCCGCCCGCTCGATGTCAAAATGCTTCAAAGCAGACATAGATTACAAGCTTTGACCCTCACTTCCAAAACTAGGGCTAGTATGATGAGCAACTCAAAATGCTGTTGTGCCCACTGGGGATATCTTTCGTTGGTCTATATTTACCACTTAAAGGGCTGACTCCTGGATCGTCATTACCTTTGTTGATGAAAGGAATGAAATCTTGTTGAGAATAAATAAAATTCAGGATCTTCCTCTTAACAAAGGAGAGACCTAAAATCCATCGACAGGGACCTTTACTAAACTGTCAAGGAACACATTTCCTCCAAAGTTTGGCAAACGCCAGTTCTCCTTCTGGAATAAAGCAATCAGATATATCAATCAGAACTAACAATTTTCCAACTCCTAGTTAGTTTCCGAATGTAAAAGCATGTACTGATAAGTGATAACAGTAACTTACTAACAACAGATTATTATGTTGTTTACAATATTTATAGTATAATTTTATGTTGTTGACTGTGATCAGGCAACAGGTTTGGATGGAAACAAAGCTGGACTTTTGTGTCCAACTTTGCAAAAAATATATACTAACGTTAATCAGCTCCAACAACAACAACTACCTCAATGCCCAACTAGATGGACCCAACTTCCTGAAACTTCGATATCCATTTCTCTTCATTTTCGTCCGTTTCATTCAACTAAAAAACTAACGATGTTAATTGCCGAGCCTGAGAAGAGCAGTCAATTGTAAAAAGGCACCATTTTTACAATTCGCCAGTACCATCTGAAAGACTTATGGGATATCTAAATACAGATTACAGAGATTGAATATAAAAATGACAAAATTATAGTTCAAGCTGTGTATTCACTGTAAATTAGCCTGCAAAGTTAAAATCCCAAATCCACAGAGAGAGACTAGGGCTGGTGATAACACACGGAACAGAATTTTATAAAAATACACTTACAAGAAATCCCGAAGCTGCACCAACTGAGCTTGGACTGGATCCTTCGGGTATCCGAATTGTAAGGTTTTGAATCGCCGATATGGCAATTGCGCAGAGAGAGAAACTACAGTGAGAGAAGCTGAAGAGGGAGAAAAAAAGAAAAGAGAAAGATAAAGTGAGTGCGTAATTTTCAACGAACTGTTGAGCGTGGTTAGGTTCGGGTCGAGGGTGAGATCCCTATCCGGATCCGGATCTAAATCCGAATCCGGGTTTCGGAGCTTTGTGTTCTGATTGGTAAGTTCTCAGGTAGGTCATTGAAGAGTATGTGGGGCCCGCTGCGTAATTTGGGGATCCTTTTCCCGAATAATCCAATTGAAAGTACCTTAATTCAAAGTATAGTTCGTCTTAAATTTTCCCTCCAAAAAGAATCTATGCTCGCTTGATATATGGAAAATTTTCATAAAGTCGACCATGTTATAAATGAGATGAATACATGTGAGTGAGAGGAATGCATTTGTCTGTCCATTTAACATATTTTGTATTCATGTACTCAATTAAGAAATACATTAACTTATAACCTTTGAATGTATTTGTACAATTTATAAATAGGGAACTTTTGACCCTATGAATAACACACCAAGAAAAGAAATAACAAAATCATTCTCCATCATATATATATTTTATCTCCATTAGTATATTGTTCTATTGTGCTCTCATTTCTTAACACGTTATCAGCACGAGGTTCTAAACAATTGAGGTTATCTGCTTCATCCGAATTTTATCTTCTTCCTAAAAGAGGTAGTCAGTTTCTTTTCCGATTCAGGTATACATTCCTATGTTTATAACGTTTCTATTAGGATCTTCTTTAACCTGCAATTTAATTACCATATGCATAACTTATTTTGAATATGATTATAATAATTACATTGGTATGAAAACAATAAGTTTCGATTAAATTGTTATTTCATTATATAAACTACGAAGAAGTTTAATCTTACACATAAATAAATAAGTATTAAAATTGTATTACAATAATTAGACTAATTAAGCCCACATCCAAATATTCTAACGGAATATGCATTTAGAAGGAATTCTTACAAAATTTTCAAAAGGTTTAAATGTGTCTTCAATAAATTTATCACCCAAGTGTACAAATTAATTAATGACTTTAAAATTAACGACTGAACTATTAGATGAATCGCATTGAATGTTGAAACTTGTCAGAATTGATATCATCTAATTTTATGCCTACTTAGCTTATTGAAACGTATTCTAAGTAGAACAAAATTATACTAGTACATATTAATTCAACTTATTTATTCTATAAAAATATACTTACATGTCTAAAGTTTTTGTGTGTAATATTAAACACTAATTTATCATCGCACTGCACATAAATGTTTGTTTGATAATTCTACATATAGAATATTAATACACGATTATGTACTGCACTGAATTGATAATAATTCTTGTCATTCTAATTCACTTATTTCTATGATAGTTTTCACTATGTCGAATTTGTCAAAGCTTGAATTTATGGCACTTGACATCTCTGGGAATAACTATTTGCCATGGGTACTTGATGTTGAAATTCACCTTGACGCTAAAGGTCTTGGTGACACTATTAAAGAAGGAAATGAAGCATCAAGTCAGGATAAGGCGAAAGCCATGATTTTCCTTCGCCATCATCTCGATGAAGGGTTAAAAAGTAAATATTTAACCTTGAAAGATCCATTTCAATTATGGACTAGTTTGAAGGAACGATATGACCGCCTAAAAGCTACGGTATTGCCAAGAGCTCGTCGTGAGTGGATGCACTTACGGCTACAAGATTATAAGACCATAAGTGAATATAATTCTATTGTATATAGAATAATTTTCCAGCTAAAATTATGTGGGGAACCTATGAATGATGAGGACATGCTGGAAAAAACTCTTTCCACTTTTCATGCCTCAAATATGGTGTTACAGCAGCAATGCCGTGAAAAGGGCTTTAGAAAATATTCGGAGTTAATTTCATGCCTTTTGGTGGCTGAACAACATAATGCCCTTTTAATAAAAAATTATGAAGCCCACCTCACTGGATCAGCTCCATTTCCAGAAGCAAATCTGGGAACGATAGATCCAAAGTCTGAAAAAAGACAAAATAATTATCGTGGCCGTATAAATATATGTGGGTGTGGCAAGGGGCGAAATAATAATCGCCATGGTGGTGGTCGTTATAAACAAGAGAACAATAAGGGTTCTCAGAATAATCCTTCGAAAGGCAAAGGTAATGTTTGCCACCGATGTGGTATGAAAAATCATTGGGCACGAATTTATCGTACACCTAAATATTTTGTCAAACTTTATCAAGCATCTATAAAAGGGAAACAAAATAAAGTTAGACTCGCTTGACTTTTCAAAATGATGTTGAGGCAGGCCCTATGAATAATCATGATAAAGTTGAAGCAAACCTTGCCTATAAATATGATATTTTTGAAGGCCTTGCAGATATTACTCATTTAGAAGCTGGAGACTTCTTTGAGTATCATAACTGAAGACTTATTATTGGGAAAAATTATAAGAATAAATGTATTTCTTTTTATGAAGTTCATATTTTGAATAAAAAAATTTATGTTGTCAGTATTTAATTTCATAAATGTAGTTTCTTTTGTTCTTAAATTTTTTAATATTACTTATGATGTTTTTTTTTCTTCTTGAAGAATATGAAAACTTCCCAGTCTTCAGTTGTCCGTATGAATAATAAAGAAGAAATATATCTTCTGGATAGTGCTATGACGCACACCATATTAAAAGATAAGAGATATTTCTCTTATTTAATTATGAAAGAAGCCAATATCCTAATAATATCTGGTAGTATAAAATTAATTGAGGGCTCTGGAAGAGCGACTGTATTACTACCAGGAGTAACTATATTGGTTGTTAATGATGCATTATATTGTAGTAGGTCTCAAAAAAACTTGTTGAGTTTCAAAGATATTCGCCAAAATGACTATCATATTGAGACCACCAATGAAGGAAAGGTTGAATACCTTTATATTACTACAATAAAAGCGAAAAAGAAGTATGTGCTTGAAAAGCTTCCCGCATTTTTCTCCGGATTATGCTACACTAATATTAGTGTAGTTGAATCACATGCCATAGTAAACAAGGAGTTTACTAATGATTTTATTATTTGGTATGACCGGTTGGGTCATCCCGGTTATAATATGATGCGCAAAATAATTGAGAATTCACATGGTCATTCATTGAAGAACCGGAAGATTCTTCAAACTAAAGAATTCTCTTGTGTTGCATGTTCTCAAGGAAAACTGATTATTAGACCATCATTAATTAAAGTTGGAGTTGAATCTCCTGCATTTTTGGAACGTATACAGGGTGATATATGTGGATCCATACACCCTCCATGTGGACCATTCAAATATTATATGGTTTTGATAGATGCATCTACAAGATGGTCACATGTGTGCTTGTTATCAACCCGCAATTTGGCCTTTGCGAGGTTACTAGCTCAATTAATAAGATTAAGAGCACAGTTTTCAGATTATGCAATTAAGACACTTCGTCTTGATAATGCTGGTGAATTTACGTCTCAGGCCTTTAATGATTATTGAATATCAACTAGGATAACAATTGAGCATCCAGTTGCTCATGTTCATACTCAAAATAGTCTAGCAGAATTATTGATCAAACGACTCCAATTAATTGCTAGACCAATGCTTATGAAAACAAAACTTCCCATTTCGGCATGGGGCCATGCTATTTTGCATGCAGCAGCTCTTGTGCGGATCAGACCCATAAGTTATCATATAGTCTCCCCAATACAATTGGCTTTGGGTCAGAAGCCAAATATTTTCCATCTTAGAATATTTGGATGTGCAGTATATGTTTCAGTTGCTCCACCACAACTCACAAAGAAGGGACCCCAAAGAAGATTGGGGATATATGTTGGGTATGAATCTCCTTCTATTATAAAATATTTGGAACCTATAACTGGAGATTTATTTACGGCAAGATTTATTGATTGTCATTTTGATGAATCAGTATACCCAATATTAGGGGGTAAAAATAAGCAGCTGCAAAAGGAGATCGATTAGAATGCATTATCACTATCTCATTTAGATCCTCGAACAAATCAATGTGAACATGAGGTTCAAAAGATAATTTATTTATAAAATATTACAAATCAACTACCTGATGCATTCACTAACCTACAAAGGGTGACTAAGTCACTAATTCCAGCTGCTAATGCTCCTATTTGAATTAATGTCCCGGTTGGACAATCTATAAATACAAATGAGTCTAAGCTACGCTTGAAACGTGGTAGACCAATTGGTTCCAAAGATAAAAATCCTCAAAAGCGAAAAGGAGCAAATGATCCAGGAGATCACAATATGGGAGTAATTGCTCAAAAAGAGCCATATGACATAACAAATGATAAGACCTCAGAGGAGGTCCAGATACCTGAAAATAATAAGAATGAAGAGATCTCAATAAGTTATGTCTCTACGGCAAAAAGGTGGAACCGAAATAATATTATTATCGACAACATTTTTGCTTATAATGTTGTTGTTGAAATAATGCAACAAGATGAGGATCTTGAACCAAGATCTGTCGATGAATGTAGAAAGAAATGATTGGCAAAAATGGAACGATGCTATCTAGGCAGAATTAGCGTCACTTGAAAAATGTGAAGTATTCGGACGTATGGCAACACAAAATTTGTTCACCTTAGTATTGTTCATCGTCATCGGAAAAATCCCATTCTGGTCCTACACGACACTATAGGTAATTGGGTCTTGGACCCGACCCTCATAAATAACATTATCATAACCCATTTTCAACGGATCTACACTACTGAACTTTTCATCACCTTAAAACAAACAACGGTACATGCACAGCAAGCACTTACCCTAGAAAATTCTCTACACCTAAGTCGCCCACTAGCTGATGTTGAAATATTAAAAGCCATCCACTCTTTTAAGCCGCTTAAAGCACCAGGTACAAATGGATTCCATCCTATTTTTTTCTAACAACACTAGCCTCAAACCAAAGGAGCCATCAACTGATTTTGTAAGGACATAATTTTCACCTAATTTCTTCCACCTGAAATTAATCAAACTTATATTTCCTTAATTCCTAAAGTCAAAATCCTGAACGTATCACCCAATACCATCCCATCAGCCTCTG